GTAATGATGTCTTGTCAAAACAAACAAACCAGTCCTCTATTCAGGAAGAGCGGTCGATTCCAAACGCTCATTACTCTAAACGGGACGACAATTAAGTTCATTTTCTCATGAATCCCCCCTCTTGTCAGATTATGGACAGAACCTGCTCCACGGCGAGACCTTTATGGTGTTTTACATGTGGAGTTTTTACCGGTGTGTGCTGCCTGGAGGCTGGTTCTAGTTTACGACCGGTGGTTCTCTCACATGGTAGTCTTATTGACATTTGAAGCACGCACATGCCATTGCCGTTTCTGGAACGTGAGCGCGTTAGTATTTGCCTTTGGACCTCAGCATCTGCTGCAGCTTGCTGTGAGCGAAAGAAAAAAAAAAAAAGAGTTGATAAAAGCAGCACAGGGAGCTGAATCCTCCTCTGTGTCAAGTTAAAACGGACGTCTGTCTCAGGAGACGCACCGTCACGCCCGGCTTGTTTTTCTGAACACTGCCGAGCTTTCTTCACAACCCTGACCTCGGCCAACTCATCAACAGGGGCCCCTTTTTTATCTCTCAGGGAAAACAGGTGGTTGTGATTGTTAGTCAGCGCACATATGATGAGGAGGCTTCTCCCTCCATGTGTTTTCTGTTTGGAATGCCGCATTTGCTAACACAGGTTTGGGAGGGACGCGGCAGATATTTTCGGGGTTACGCCTGCGACGCTGCTTGAAAAACACCACCGCCCACTCCTGCTCAGCTGTTTCAGGTCATTCCACAGTGAGGACCATGTGCCACTTTGACTTTATCCCATGGAGGGACGCCCACATGGCTGACTGCAGCAATTCAAAGAATATACTACAAAAGGGTGGGATTTATTTTGTGTAAAGCAAAGAAAGCAAATTAGGGTGTGAAGTTTTCACGGTGCGATAACTGTCATTGAAAATATCACAAGATTCAGTATCACAGTATTACTTTTATTGTTATCATTATTCAGTCAGTTAAAAAATGAGAGCAAAATTATAAAGATATACAAAACTGATAAAAACATAGCACCTAACTGTATAAGTCTTAAAGCACTATAGCATGTTAAATGACCTATTAAATAGCTCCGCCCCCTCTTAGTCGATTGGTTGACTAATCGGTCATTTTGGTCTCAGTCGACTAAGATTCCTTTAGTCCTTTTTAATGTTGTTATCTGTAAACACGACAAGATTTTAAATTGTGCTTTTGTAGAAAAACAGATCCGTCGATTAAATCAACTAATCGATAAGTCGACAGCAGTGTATGAGCGTCAGGTGACTGAGAATGTCTTTGGTTGAGGACAGCCCAAGATTAAAAGTAACATCAGCTGCAAAATAATTTCCTATAAATATAAACAATTAGCAATAAACTGAGTGTGTGTCAGAGCAGCCATAATGCTACCGTTTGTGCCTTTAACCCCCCACACACACACACACACATTTATGTCAGTCTTGTTTCATAGCGTAGATAAGCTAATGTACTCTGTATGATAACAATCATTTCTAATTAAGTTAAACATACCGGTGCACCGTTACAACCCTAAATTACACAACTCTCGGTTAGGCAATGAGCCCATGGTAACTGCAGAACTCCTTCCATCTGAGCTGAGACCAAAATGCCAGCCATGATAAATGTGGTACGCCACTGACACCTCTCAGTCAGGGGGGGTGGGGGGGGGGGAGGTGTCTGGAGACAAAAACTCTTGACTTGTAACAAACAAAGCAAAATGCTCGGCAGCGAGGGACTGTCTGTTCGTCCGTCCCCGTTTTTGCTCTGCCATTTACCGTCTCTGCAGTCAAATGTCAAGACTGTATATGTGACTTGCCCACAGGGGGCCGTGCATGCCATTCAGAGAGTGCTCCCAACATTTGCTTGCACGCTTTGGGTGGGGAGAGACACATCTGACAACATGCACCTCCTAAGGGAGCCACTCTTCGCGGTTATCTTGGGGGGCTGTGCCACACATGCAAAACAATGAGAGAAGTGCCGACGCTTGGCTCCTGATGTAGACAAATGTTTGAGGAACGTGCTGCGCACCCCGGTTCATCACCCGATGAGCACCCCGGTTATGTGTGGGTTAGAGGATGCTCCAATCTCTCTTAAGTGATGCAATAGCTTATCAGCGGAGAGCACAGGGGAGGCTCCACGGCTATCAAGCGGACCGCTCTCTAGCCTTATCTTATCCATTCAGATGAAGAGAGGGCTCCAATTGGATTAGGCGGATAGCCATGAGAGAAAACAGAGATAATGTCATAAAAATGTCAATCATCCAGGAAAAAAAAGCGTGAAAGCTGATCAATTGAGCCGGAAACCAACTCTCTTTTGCAGGGATTAATTGTGAATGACCAGGTTTTCATAATAGTATTTTATCTAACGTCTTTCTGTTGTTGATTCGCATAATTTCCAAAAACGCAGCAATCAATCTGACATGTGTAGCTGTCCACAGGTGTTTCTTATAAAGAGAGCGGTGATCTCAAAGTTTATATTTGATCTGCACTAATCCAACATGAGCATCTTCCAAGATCCCACATATCTTGGCCACGCTCTTGTGAGGAGGGTTCTGGCAGACGTCCCTCTAAAGTGAGTGTACTGCTTTCTCTGGAATAGTTTAAGGGAAACGGCTCAGGTGAAGCCAACAATGGAAAATGTCAACGCATTCCATTAGATCAGATTGGAAAGTCTCCGCTGTGCTTAAAATAACAACAGGCCCTGGTCTTTGGCTCCGCCGACAGATGACTGGGGCTGATATTTGCGGTCCGTGTTCAGCCGTCACTTGGAATGGCCGCGGTCTGCACGGTCATTAAGGCAATCGCCAGCGATGAATGTCACGCATTTAAATAGAACAAGCACATCTCACAAAGACACAGAAAAAGAAGCGACGGCAGACGGCACATTCCGTCTTCTGACTTTCTTACTCGCTTTGTGAAACATCAGGAGCTGAATCTGGTGCGGAGCTTTTTCCAAAACACAACAAGATGAATTCCAATTACAGTCAGCCCCTATTAGCGTCAGCGCCAAGTAGTAAATCACCACGCGGCTTGTGGCCAGCTTTGGTTTAGCCAGATTTGTCCTGTTTCTAAAGACAGTCGGACCACATGGCTGAGCCTTGTCCAACAAGACAAAAGACATTCTTAAATCTTCACCAGCTCACTGCACCCCCCCACCCCCTTTGAAAATGTCAATTGTCCTGCTCCCATGTCACAGATTTACCAAGGGGGGAACATCATTAGGAGTACTGACTTTGAAATGTATCACATAAAAACAAGAAGAAGAAAAAGCACACAGCCTGGAGGTGAGTCGAGAGAGACACACAGCAACAGATTTCAAACAAGCTCTGCTGCTTCTTCCTAATGAAAGCAAAGAGAATAAGCCAATTGACACACGTGAGAGATCACAGGAGGGTTTTTGTGTCTGTGCTTCTCTTTGATCCGTCTGTTCTCTCACACCTTGCTTAATGTGCGTCCAAGTGTCAGCGAGTGCAAAGTGAACACATTTCATGCCCAAACTTATGGCTTAATTATTTCCAAAGCACAGTTACTCATGCGTGAGCAGGGAGAGAGTGCAACGTTTCTAAATGCATTTTTCACTTTAAGGAAAACATTTCGAGACAACATTTGTTACACTTAAAATAAAACTAACTATATTCTTGAATTTCAAAGCATGTAGGCCAATGCAACAGCCCACCATGCTTTTTTTTTTTGATGAATCATCAATCTTTTCAACCTGCAGCAAATCCATCTAAATCTGCAGTACATTTAAAACTATAGAATTACATGTTCCTGGATTTATTTTTAAATAAACTACTGGAGTAGTCTGGTGGCAGCTGAAGAAAATAGCAAAGAGTAAAACAATCCTGATTTATCAAAGAAATCAATCGCAACGTAGCACAGCAACAAGTGGCTTATTGTTTTTCTCTGTTATGAATATAACATGATTAAATATAGTACATTTAGTGACATGTTAAAAAATGATTTAACTTTGCTTTTCCTCTAAATATCGTCAAAACACGGCCCGTAAGTTTATGTTTTAAGTATTTGTCCCGCGTGTTCAAATTTTAATGAAGCTGTTACAGGTGTGTGTTTATCGTTACCAACGATAGGACCGATAGAAGGGGGGAGAGATGGGGTCTTTATTAAGGGTGGACTACCGAAACCAATGGACTTTCCGACGGCTGTTTCTGTTTACCAGCTCAGCTCTGGTGCGGGTTTGAAAGGGTCCAGCAGCGGGAGGAGGAGGAGGACACTCACTAACCCGGCTGGCTGGCTCCTCCCGCGGACAGACTGCTTTATTCCGCCGCAGGAAAAACCGTTATTTCGCATCACTACTTCCTACATCTCTGCTATAACCGCGGCTTCAAAAACCCACGTTAAATAGTTAACGCACGGGCGACGGGACAAAAAAATAAAAAATAAACCACTTTAAATCATATTTAATTCACAAACACAAAGTCTCTCTCCGAACTTTAAAGGGTTGAAACTTTTTCAAAGCGATGGGGACAAACGTGGGGGCTTCACTGTGAAACACGCCGCTAATTGAACTGATGCAAGAGCCGAACACTTCGCTCAGTTAGTCGTGCTAATGCTAACATGTGGCTACATCCAGACACTTTGTTTTATTGTAACATACAGCCGCTTTACTCCGAGTAAAACTGCGAAGGAGAGGGATGGATTTGAGAAACAATCGTCGCTCGACCCGTACATTCGCCAGTCATGTTGACAGTGCGTTAAGTTGTATCAAAAATGGCGACTATATTTGTCATTTCGTTAACAGAATTAATAACTATATTTACTTCACGTCGGAGAGACAGGTCTTGCTGTCAGCCTGGCTTGAGTTTAACGTTAGTTGCGTCCAGATAGGGTTACTTCTGAGGCACAATCTATTTTCCGCCCGACGCTGGTGAGAAATAGCGACCAAACAGACGCAGAAGTGAATGGCTTTTGACGGCCACGTTCCTCGGAAGAGAAAACACGGGGAAATAACAGTCAGTTTGCGTGATTTTCTGTACTTACAGTGAGTTGAGAGGAGAGTCAGGACACAAGCCAGACGTGTTTTCGCCATCTTGGAGTCGATGCAATGCTCGGTTTGACTGGCCGTACATGCGCAAAGTAGCCTAAAGAAGCTTTGGTGTGGATGGAGCGAGGGAGAGAGACATAGGCAGAGGGAGGGAGGGAGAGGGAGAGAGAGAGAGAGAGAGGAGGAGGGGGGTATTATATTAGGTTTCCATAGCTACCGAAAGCATCACTCACGCAGACAAGAATTTATAGTTGACACGATGTGGGAGGCTTTTACTACCGTGGCCTTATACTGTAGGGAAGCAGCAGGGAGCGTTCAGTCTTCTCTGTGTTGTGAGATGAACAGAGATGAGCAGCGAAGTATATTTAAAAGAGCACATTCCTTCTGTTCCTCGTTGAAGTGAATAGGATAACAGGGTAAAGAATAATAACAGGCCTCGATATCACATGAAACTTCACCGGTTGATTACTTACATTAAGACAATTCTTTTTTGTATTACAAGTTTTCTGAAATGTTATGTTTAAATATGCAAATGAGGCATTCTCTTATAAAATGAACAAAATTCTGAATATTGGATAAAGCCAGGTTCAAAGTTTCTGTTTCATTTTGTTGACATATTAGTTATATTAGAGTTGAAGGTTTTTACTGAGGGAATTTTGGATATCTCTTTGTATCACTCCATAAAGAAAATAAATACTGTCAACAGCCATAAAAAATACATCTCCACCATATTTTTAGGAATCATTTGTTGTATAAATCAGGCTATGAATGATATATGAATAAAGATAGAAATTAAACTGGCAAGTTTGGTGTATGTAAGCGCTGAAGTGGAGGTTTGTGGCTCATTTAGAGAAAACTTCCTTTCAAGATATTTATTGTAAAATGATACCTTTGGAAGATGTGAATAGGAAGAAAAAAAATGAACCAACAGGTATCATAATGGAACTTCCCCTGTTGATTACTTTCATCAAGACAATACTTTTTTTGTATTACAAGTTATCTGAAATGGTATATTTACATTAATCCGTAATTCTAACTCTTATCATGCATGTAGGCTGTGACCAATTGCACACGGCAGGCTTTCAACGCAATATTCCTTCACCATTTTTCACTGACTGTAAATCACAGCCCTGTCAGGGACTTCTCGTATGTTGGAGCCCTTTGACAGGAGCCACAGCCCGTCAGCCCAGAGCTCTCTTACCCTTTTCACATGAATCCTGTAAAGTCCTGTTTTTGTCATAGTGGATAGGGTCTGCTCTGCAGGCCTCCAGTTCCAATGACATTGCGTTGCTTTTATCGAGACGTTTTCTCCCGCTGAGCCCTGGTCTAACTCTGTGATGACAGCCGGTGCAGCATGGAATATAAATGCTACTCCAACCATGCCTGTGACATACTATTCAACCTCCTCTAAAAGTTCCACAAAAGGCAAAAAACGGTTTGATGCCATCTGTGCTGTGCATAACTGTAATATCCTTTACTGTTGGGCATGATCATAGGTGCACTGGATCACTGCTGTATTCATAAAAGTACAATCTGAGATGATTGCACTCACTGCATGCTTCCTTAATGTGGTAATTATGTCTAAATATAGAGCTATGTCTAATTATGCTAGCATGCGTATGAGTTGTATTACATAACGCATGTAAATCTGCGAGATTCTAATATGAATCAGGTGTAGTTATTTTAACCACACGGTTGCCTTGAGGCTCTGCTCTCCAGGTTTGTATCTCAGTATGCGGCATGGTCTTTTGTGTTACAAAGGGTCTTTTTGGGGATATTACATAAGCAACATTAGGTGCTGGAATTCATACAATATGAAATAACAACCTTGTTTTCTAAAATAAATAAAATAAGGCCATCTCCATTTTCCACCAGCAAACTGAATTTACTCAGGTAAATATGAAATAATATGTGCAAACTAACCACTTCCAACACTGTGATTGAAAAGAATACATCAGAATTTGTATCAGAATATATATTTACTTGATGAATTTAGTGAGTGGAAGTTTATTTCAAGGTATATGTTTCTTAAACGCAAAGCCTGCATGCATTGACAAAGCATGCATAGTGTATTGATTGTCTCAGAGCAACACTGAAACAATGAATCTGAAATGATTCAGCTTTTTTAAGCAACTGGTAAAGCAAGGTTTCACCTGGAATGTTCCAGTCCCACTGCATGCAGTTCATTTTTACTTTTGGTTTAATCTAATAACAAAAAAAACACAAACTTTAATGTTAACACAAGTTAACCAAATCCACCCACCGTATGGAAATATGTTGGGCTATTATGATGAATTTCTTGCCATAAAGTGCCTTTATGACCCCAAAGCACGCCCCTTTGTTATGGCACGCGCTTCTATTTTTTATTGCAGGAAAGGCACAGGTGTAATTAATTACCATTAACGATGATTCTGTGCATATGCTGTAGTAGAGTTCTCAGAATAAAGGTTTAGCTGACAAATCATTGGAATCCATGGCATCATAATCTGGGCCGCTCTGATGTCAAATTAAGGATCCGCAACACTGCCAAGTGACTGTGGTTTTCACTACTCTGAACTGAAGATTAGACTTGATTATATTAGATTTCTTTAGGGAATAGTGTATAAACTACATGGGCAAATATTATCTTACACCACTTTGTTTGATCTGCTCCTGGTCCCTCTGTTCTCCTTTCCTCCTCTTCTCTTCAGAACTTCTCTCTCTCTCAGCTTCACTCATTTATCCCTAAAAAAACGTCCTTATGTCCATAAGATAATATTCTGTATGTGCAAATTTTTACATGGAAGCTATGTGTGACAGAGTACACATTTCCCTAAAGAGACATTCAAACTATAGCTTATCATATCTGATTCAGGGCTTTTTAAAATATTTCTTTTGGCATATCTGTTTTATTCATAGTGAGAGACAGACAGGAAAGGGGGAGAGAGAGAGAGAGAGATGGCATGCAGGCCGCTGCACACACACTATTTAGTGTATTACTAAACATGTGTTTTACATCTGCTCTTTGTATTAAGGAGTGACCATTATGTCTGTTCTTTATTAAAATATTGTTTAATATAGACATACTTCCTCCCGGTGTGACATTGGCACTGTGTATCAGATTTATTACTGACACTGGATATCTCAACTGTCATTGTACCTCATAAACGTGTTCACTGGAACACTCTTCTCAGTAAGGCTGGGCCTGGATGTTCACTTTGGGTGCTCTTGCCTACAACAAAAAAATAAATCCAGTGGTAAATAACTGTGTATGATCATGGAGTTAGTCTTACAGAATTAGACCAAAGGGCTTTCATGTACTCGGCTCCCGCAGCCCATGGGGAAATGATGTAAAACTGAAAGAGCTGGTCTCACTGTGTGAGTTTACAATGATTATGAAGGATTTCAAGCCAGATTCAAAAGGAACGTGATTATTCCTTGTTAATCTTAAATCTGTTTCATCTTATTTCCTGTTCCTGTTGTTCTATTGCTCGCATAATATCTTTGGATTGAAAATGTATCTGTGTGTCACTTTAATTGTGTTTTTGCTCATGAATATGAACTATCTGGTTTCATAAAGAAGGGTCCATTTGTATTTTAGAGGCACAACAACTAACTAAATCAAAACTGAATAATGTCATCACATTTCCTGCCTTGGGTGCTTTTTTTGGATAGCTATGTTTCTACTCTTATTTCAGCCATTCAGCTGTAAGATGAGCCTTTGGTGGTCCAATCCTACACGGTCGCTGTATCTCTCTGTACAAAGACAGTCATCCATGGATCAACTAGCCAGATGGTAATATCTAATGGCATCCCGCTGGACCTGAAATTCCAGGCCTAGTCTTTTATTGCTGTCATCCCAAATTAATCCTGCACGACGAACAAGGCATGGCAGTATCCTTCAGTAGGACCAAATGACAATTCAGTGTACAATAAATATAAATTGTAGTTATACACCTGTATTTTGCATACGCGTGGATTTGTGTCTTTATTGTATTGTGGACATATTTTATGTGTGTATTTTGTGTATGTATTAGTGAATGTATTTTGTGTATGTATTAGTGAATGTATTTTGTGTATAGTATTAGTAAATGTATTCCGTGTATGTATTTGTGGACATATTTGGTGTGCGCATTTGTGAATGTTTTGTTTGTTTGTGGATGTATTTATGGACTTGTTTTTGTGGATGTATTCTGTGGATGTATTTTTTAGTATATATTTGTGTTAGTCTTTTGTGGAGGCATTTATGGTATTTATCTGTGGACAGGTGTTGGAACTTATCATTTTGCTAAAAACACTAAACACAGTGCATCTGGTCCATGTTACAATCCTCCAATTTCCATATCAACTCAAATAAACTGAAGTAAAAAACAAAAAACACAGATCAGCTCGAAGCATGCCCCCCCCCCCCCCAGGTTATTGCAAATGAAAGATGGCAAAAAGGCAAGAGAGTTGGCTTTGCTTTTCAGAACATCCCTTCTATCAGGTCAGGCAGTTACAGGGCTGAGCCTGCACTCGAAGGGTGTTTCTCTTTCAATGAGTAATGACTCAAACTGTTTTAGTCAGGGGATCTTGTTTTATACATGCATCAGGTATTAGATAACCATGCAGCAATATCATTAAAACATGAGCTTCACAAAATAAGGTGACAATAAGGTGAAAATGACATGTACTGTAGGTCAAGCTCATGAAAAGTTTGCCCACTCAAGAGATTCAAAAATTAAAAAATTAGCCTTCACCATCCAGTGCTTCTCCGAATTCTTGTAAAATAAAACAGGAATTCTTGACATATCACTGGATAAGATTTCTTTATGTTTGTTTTTTTTTAGATTGTTCTGCTTCCCACAACCTCTTCAATGCATCTTAATTGGATTGTAGCGTGTTACATCCTGCAGCAGTGTGGAACATTCCATGTCACATGTACCTGCCATACACAGAATTGAATATGTTTAAAGAGGCTTCAAAACGGTACTCCACAAACCACAAGGGGACGTAAAAGTGACTTTTTGTTATACAGTTTATTGTTGGCAGGAGAGGAAAAGTCAGGGGATCACCAAAGTCAGTAGGATACATCATCTATAAACCATGAATGTACAAAATATTGTGTCAGTCTATCCAGCACATGATTCACTGCGTGAAAAGGTCTGCTTGTGGTGCTGGACGAAAG